GAGAGAGAGAGAGAGAAATGGAACAGAGGCCGTGTCAGGCAACAAAAACAACCGTGTCCTGGATCCTTACCGCATCTGGAGTGCGTGACGAGCTGACAGGCCTCGATGAGGAATCGCTCGATGTAACGCTGGCACCGCTCCCAGTGGTGCACGGCCAGGCTGCCGATGTTGCATATAAGGCAAAACGCGGCTAGGGGGGCGTGGAGAAATAGAGTGAACAGGCTGCCACTGTGTCGAATGTCGCGTAACGTGGGCGGCGTGTCCTGAGGCGACATCAGCACCATCAACGGTTGGCCGAAGTAACGGGGTATCTGCTGGAATACGAAGCTGTTGTCCGAGTCGACGACCACGAACAGAGGTTTCCTCGTGAACGGGTAGAGGTCACCCGGATATAGGCAGTGCGGTTCCTTCCCACCTGTCGGCCTCTTCCCGTGCTCCGGGTCCCTCTTGCTGCACGTGGAAACGCCACCCAGGTCGTACCCCACTGCAAGATCGGAAGGTTTATCAACATCGTGCGATTCAGGTTTCGTGGCGCGAAAAGAACCCTAAAAGAAACTTTTCCACAATTCGGACAGATTTGTTCTAAAAGTTCGAAACCTTTCGATTCGAGAGTTTGAAACGTGATTATTAAAAATCCTTTAGAAATTTAAACGTTTGCGAATTATCGAATTACGAAGATTACGAAGATTAATCTTCTTTGTACGAAAGTTGAAAAATACACTTTTCACGAACGATTTAAACGAGTATTTTTTTTTTAAGCGCGAACCGTTTAGGTTATGTTTAGGCTCGTTCTCGCGTGGTGGCGTTCCTATAAATAAAGCGGCGATCAGTTGTATCGGCCGTTCACGCGCGGCCGGCTCGAGCTTCGTTTCGAACGAACAATGAACAGGGAAGATCGTCGGACCGTGTCGCTTTTTTTCTAGACTCCGCCGCGGCTCGCTCGAAATTGGACCGTTACCAAAATCGTTCCCTCTATCCTTGAAAGATTTATTTGCGCCCGGACTAGATCGCAACGCGACATTGTAATTTGTATCGCGCTTTTTTGGAACGGGCCAATTCTGCTTTTAAACTCTGCCTACTTTCCCGCGCGTCTGACCATTGCTCTCCTTTTCCACTAGAATTAACCTACATAAACAAGTCGCAATATCAACAAATCTATTTTTCTCTCTTCTCTTTCTTCCATCAAATTTAATTCCTCGTATACGTACGAATATACGAATACTTTAATCTTTAAAAGCAGATTCGTACAAAAGTGAGCTTTTCTTTTTTTTTTTCTTCTTTCTTTCTTTTTTTTTTTAACAAGGCTAAAAGCAGAGATTTGGCGGAAAGGGAGGGGGAACAGGGAGAAGAAACATGGCCAGAGGGGTTTCTTCGATATCGACGCGTCGCCACGTATTTCGATATTGATTGCAAACTTAGAATCCAGCGGGCCGACTGGTTGGAATCTCTACCGCGGAGTGACCTTGGCACGGATGCGCTACTCTACTTTCGTTGAAAGACCGTTTTCGCCTTCTCGGCCAGCGCGGTAACCCCACCGCGCTCTGAATAGCGGCTTCCGAGCGTTCCTTTGGTGGTCAGCTCGCTGAATTTTTCAACATCGTCGACCTTCGGTCTCGAGCCCAATCTTTTTTTTCTTCTTCCTACTTCCTTTTCTTCTTTTTCTCTTCTTTTCCCTCTTTTAGAGCCGCTTTACGCGTTATATTCAGTGGATGTTATATAGCGGAGAGTATATATATATATACTTGGTATTGTGCTATAGAGGAAGAAAAAAGAGAAAGAGAGAAGAGAGATAGAGAGAGAGAGAGAAATTGGTCGATGATTGGACAGAAATTGGGAGTCAAAATAGAGAGTGGAAAAGAGCGGTTCGGCTCAAATACAGTTGGTGGCCAAGTCTCGATAGCGTGTTTCTCTGGTTCTGATGAAAACGGGTGAAGGTTGTGGATTCGCAGACTTAGTTTTTCTATCTCGATTTCTAAATATTATATTACGAAATATTTTTTTTTACTTTCCTCTTGTTGCTTTCTCCTTTTTTTCGATATAAAAAAAAAGATTATCAAAATGCAAATAATTCCTAGAAAGAGGAACTATTTTTATTATTAATCATTATTTCAATCAAGGAAAAAACTAGCCAGAAGGATGTAAAACTTTTACGATACGCCATCAAAATTTTTTTACCACCGATTTGGTCACTCGATACACGCGACAATATATATATATATATACATGACGCCTATCTACATGCGACATCGATAAATATCGGATATACACACAACTTAATACAACAAAAGACATCGAAAGCGTTGCGCAACGAACTCTCGTCGTTTAAAACGTTAAACGAATCGTTAATTAAATCGGAATGACGATTATATTCCAGATCGAAAGATGATAGTTTGTCAACGGTCGAACGGCGCGTGGAATATTAGGAAACCATCCAAACGAGCTGAATTTTCTATTTAGTTAATTCAACGGGCACCGTTATAAAGGGTCATGGTCGTGTGCATCTCGCGAGTCGACTCTTGAGATGTCTTCTTTCGATCCGCATAAAACTTTCATGAGGATGGGCACTAATTAAAGACAAGGAAAGAGAGAGAGAGAGAGAGAGAGAGAGAGAGAGAGAGAGGNG